CTTAAAAAAAAAAAAGCCCCAACGGATCTATTTCCCCCGCGAGCGCCCATTCCTGTTCTCGCCCATTCCAGTTAGGCGGGCGGCTGTTTATTTCCTCCGCGCCTTTTTTTTTTTCGCCCATTCGAGTTTGAAACCCTTTCGCCGCTTCCCAGTTTCAATTTTGCTGCGTCCACACTTCGTTTCCAAAAAAACAAAAACAAAAGACCTCCCTCAAGGATCGAATTCTTACTTAATCTCTCTCTCCCTTTTAAACTCTGCAGCGGGGGAAACGCCTGAGATACTTCAATTCATCAGTCGGCAGATGTCAAGGTTTAAAATGCAATGAACCTCCCAAATTCAGCCCAACTTGCAGGCATTCACACGAAGAGAAGAAAAGAACAATCGGATGAGAATTCACACCACAGCCGAATATTCGGATGAGAATTCAGAGTTGACACATGAATCAACGACGCCGAATGAATTTCCACTCAAAAAAAATATATTAATATTATACAATTGGAAGAAATTCTCAAGTAGTAGTACCCAGCGGCCGCAACCGCGATCCGACACTGCGATCCCGGCGGTTGTGGTGTGAATTTTCATCCATTTGTATATATCGTCAAATATATAACATTATCTTTTTAAGTGGGGAGAGGGAGAGCATGAGAGGATCAGAGAGAGGCTGGGGATGATACAAGACTTCAGAGCAAGAAAACAGAGACTGTGTGTGTGTGTGTGTGTGTGTGTGTGAGAGAGAGAGAGAGAGAGAGAGAGAGAGAGAGTTTCAAAAGGAGAAAGGGAAAAAGAAAAGAAAAAAGATATTTGGAAAAGGTGAGGCTATAAAATCCAAAGAAGAAACAGTAGGGGCCTAAGCTACCCGATTCGGCTACAATTCAAGAAAAGAAAAAAATAGTGTAAGACCTCACTCCCCCATTCTCCCTCCAGCCCCACACCCCACCCCCACCCCGCTCTCTTTTCCTGCCTCCCAACGACTCAAGCCACGACCCAGTTTCTTTTTCTTTCATTTTTCCCGGAAATAAGCTCGGAAATTCCGGGGTGAGGCTGAATTTGAAATGTGTTAAAAAAAAAAAGAAGAAAAAAAAGAGAAACAGAATTTGAAATGTGTTGTGGAGGGATTCCCGGCCTCCGAATTATATTGAGCTTAATGAAAGCCCTAAAAGGGCCTCTTTCCTTGTCCAAAAAAAAAAAAGAAAAAAAGGAAAGGTGCAAAATAAATATACCCATATATATCGTCAAATAGAACTGCCCGGTAAACCGTAGGCAGAGAGGGAGAAGAGGACAACAAACGAGGGGCTGTGACAAACTGTTTCGTCGGAGTTTCACCGACTCATCAGGAGGCTGAACCCTCAACAGTCTGCAGAATCCCCTCACTGATTACACTGTAAATGATAATCTACCTTAACCAAAATCAAAGTAGACTATCACTCATATATATCATATGCTGACTCCAGATAGAAAGGTTATGACCAGCGTTGACTTCATTCAAGTTTTCAATCGCAGCGTTCGGTGTGTTGTTTGTGAATCTGTGTTTCGTCAATTTCAATTCTGGCAGAAGAAAAGAAAACCGAACTAATCTTTTTTTTTTTCTTTTCTTTTTTGTTTTTGGGACCATTTCTCGATTTATGCGCGTCATCTTCGCGCAGAGGCCATGCCTCATCTTTGTGTCGTTCCATTTCTAACGGATATCCCTCATGTCCCGAAGGACGCCAAATCAAAACTACTCTTGGCAAAAAAAAAAAATAATAATAATAATTAAAAAAAAGAAAACTACTCTTGGTTACCTCTGTTCCTCCTCCAACCTGAACATAGCTTTCCTGCGCGGCCGAGAGCAGTACAAGTCAGCCAGTTTGTGAGGTGATACCCCTATATAAAGTACCCAACAATCATAACCTGGGCCATGCTAATCTTTCTCTGTATCGTTCCAATGTTAACGGGATGACCATCATGTCCCGCCGCAAAAGGACAACACAAAACTACTCTTGCTTACCTCTGTTCCTCCCCCAACCTGAACATAGCTTCCTGAGCGGCCGAGAGCGGTACAAGTCAGCCAGTTTGCTAGGCGACACCCCTATAAAGTACCCAAGAATCATAACCTGGTTCATAATCGTCGTTTCCACAATCCCACGTTCCTCCCATCGTCTTGCTGATATCAAAAGCGGGCCACCACTGATCAGACCCGGTGGGCCTCGGCGCTTCAACCTTCTCACCAATTCGAAGTCTTCCATAATCGGCATACTTGGGTACCCTCCTATCTCACCGAATGTGTCCCTTCTGATGAATAACCCCTGGTCTCCATATGGCATGTAGAAGACCCGCGTTCGGATCAGGATGAGTGTCTCTAGGACACGGTATCCCCATCCAGATGCATCGATTCTCGGCTTCACGAATGCTCCCCATTCCCGCACTTGACGCTTTGAAGTCTGTCCGCCGCCCCCGAATGTTCCGCCGAATGTTCCGCTGCTCTGAGCAACAGATGATGTTGCCAGTGGCGATGACGGCGATGACATAGGCAATCGCAGAGCCGAGCTAATCATGTGGATGTACCCTGGTGGAAGAGAAGAATCCCCGTGTAAGAAAAGCAGGACATCCCCATTTGCAGCTTGAGCTCCAGCATTCATCTGAGGACCCCTGCCTCTTGGGGATTGCAGAACATTCACACCCATCGATCTGGCAATCGTCACAGTCTGATCATTGCTTCCCCCATCAACGACAATCACTTCTGGCACCGCCTCAGCTCCCTCCGTAGTCCCACATCGTGTACTCTCAATAGCCCGAGCAATATTCTTCTCCTCATTGAGTACAGGCAATATTACGGACACACGCATGTTCTCGCTTCGAATGAGCAAAAGCAATCCCTCTCTCTCTCTCTCTCTCTCTCTCTCTCTCTCTCTCTCTCTCTCTCTCTCTTCAATCTATCTCCTTCCTAGCTGGTGCTGCTGCGCTTCAGAACTCTCGTTCGCATTTGCCAAATCCCCTACCGCACCCTGAAAATGAATGTATACAAGGAATGTGTCCGGCCCGATACAGTCAAAATGTATACAAGGATGTGTCCGGCCCGATACAGTCAAAATGAGGGTGCGTTCTGTTCGTGGGGAGACGGTAGTTCTGTCTACCCACAGGGGGGCGGGGGCAGGTCGGCCTAGCTTAGGGGCGGATCCCACCGGCGGCTGGCGCCACCTTTTTTTGGGTGATTGGCCCTCACCACTCCACCCCTCTTTTTCCTCTTCTTGTTTTCGCCCTCTCCCTATGGATGCACTTTTCAAAGCCTCTGATCTCACAATTTCACCTTTCACTATCTACCTACCACTACCCCTATAAGCCTATGGAGGGGACCCCTTCAAGCACAGCTACCTCTCACAATTAAGGGGATGCATGTTGCCCCCCGCCCTAATCGGCGGTAATTATCAATATTTCACTTCGTAATGAATTAATGTGGGGGGAAGGAAAAAAAAAAAAAAAGGGCGAGAAAAGG